CGAATTTTGACTATAAAGGCTATACAAGCAGTGGTCGATGGTAACTGAGGATCGACGACGATAGGCTGTGATGGCCGATCATGGTCGATGGAGATAACAACACGGTGATCTACGGTGGTTTGTGGCTGCGGAGGCCAATGGTTACTCGTTGGGTCTTCTCTCTAGAACACGCTAGGGAATTCCATTTATTCTTCTCCTCTTCCTCCTCTGCTAAAGTGAAGATACGTGATCTATTTATAGTCTTTTAGGAAGGGACATTTTATTTCATCAGCGCGCAACTTCTCTAACCATGTGATCAGACAGTTCATGATGAACGCCTTTGATCAAAGATGGTTTTTTTAAGAATTCAAGTGCCTTAACGACCTTGGAATTGAATGATCATAATCTCGTTGGGTTCGACTCGAAGAGAATATGTCCAATTTAGAGCTCATTGGATTATTCAATTGATGTTCCAAATCTCACAATTGTGCTTCAACTGCTTGGTATATGCTTGATTAGACCTAATTTTAATCATTGTTGGCATCATTGGGTTCGTCTTGTCTTGTCAAGACTGTCAGTTTTACAATGAGCTTGTTGAAGTCAGAGCCCGGATGATCTTGAGTTTGAGTTTGGAAGTAAAAATTTATTGATGGCGCATAATGTATATTTTACATTTTCTTGTCATAAACTCATTCATATAAAATTTATTTTATTTTTTTAAAATTAATCATAATGATATTCTGAATATGAATTTAGGCATTAGATATATAAATATGCAAGAATCGTAAATGTCTCTTTATATTAATCATGTCATAAACCCGCACTCATTCAAGGTATAGTTTAATTTTTTGTTGGTTTATCAACAGAATCATAAAGATAAATATTCTAATACTCTAATTTATTGATAACCCAATCACCAGCTTTGAATTAAGTATAAATGATATAATCAGGCTGTCATCATGATGCAAACAATCTTATAAAAAAAAAAAACATCAAGACAAAACCCAACATTAATTCCAATAAAATTGAGGGCATATTAATCGATGATGATGATGATGATGATGATGATGATTCCACTTAAGGGTATAATCGAGTGAGTCGACTTGGAGCCACCCTCAGCTACAGCTTCAGCTTGATTATTAATCGAGTTCAAGCCCAAGCTCGACCTTGAGCTTACGAGTTCTGGCCTGTTTACGAGCACAACTTGTTTATTATGAAAAGTAGAAAATAATATTACTTTATGTTGGTGCTATAATCAAATGATAAGTGTAATAGGGAATTATGAGATAAAATATAAGAAATCAATAGATATAAAATATTAGACATCATTTTTTAATATTTTTTAATAATTTAAGCGTATTAATTTATTATTATTATTATCAGAGGACTCTTGTCTGCATAAGTATGGCCTTGAACTGAAGGCCTATTGATCGAAAGCTCTCATCCACTACGCCAAGATGAATTGCATGAAACATACATAAGAGTTTGATTGGATAGTCTACTTGGAATACGGTCAATAGAATATTTTAGTATATGCCAAAAAAAAAAAAAAAAAAAAAAAAAAAAAAAAAAAAAAAAGTGAAATACAATTTTACTATAAACAATTTCAATGGATGATATCTTAAATGACGCATAAATATTTAAATAAATGAATCAATAATATTTTAACAAATAGTTGACCCAAATTTAAAAATTGAAGTCCAAATAATTTTTTATTTCTATTTTTTAATGAAAAAAAAAGTAATAATTTTTTTTCTTATTTTATCTGAATTTAGTTAAAAAAGAATTTTAAGAAATTAAAATATAAACTGTAGTTTAAAATAAAGTATTCAAACAACAAAATTGGAAAAGAAAATTTACATGTCACCCTCAAAGTAATCCCACAATAATTTATATGGAATCAGGACGGTATTAGATCATGTATGTGAAATTTTCAAATTTTTTATATAAATATTTAAATTTAATATATTTTTTCTCATGTTTTAGTAATTTTGATAGGAAGCAAAGGGCTGAGTCAAGCGCACTTGATCATGTTCGGGGTGGAACTAGATTATGTTCAGAGTTGACAAGTGTTCCCCTCATGAATTTACAATTCGTGTATATAAATGTAGTAAAAATTAATATATTTTTTTTCTTTATGAGATTTATGTAATTCAGTAATTTTGTACCATCTGATATTGTTGGATTTAGGATTATCTTTTGTGAACGCATCTCGAGAGTTAAGAGTCGAGTGAAGGAGAAATTAAAGTGAATCAAGAGTTGATGTAGAGGGAACCCAGGGAGTCCCTTTGGTAGTCATTTTGTCCCTTATTTATAAAAATATATTTGGTGCAATTACATAAATGAGAGAACGGTTGTGAAAACCGTTCTTAATATGATTAATGTTCTAATAAATTTTATGTATTTCATCCCAAATCGGTATTAAAATTTGAATTGTGATATGACATTAATTGCTATAATACGGCTGAGTCAGGTGATCGATTGAGTGGTGACCGTGCCTTTTATTTAGTCTACCGAGGCGTTTGATCGAACGACTATTTCGTTCTCCATGACAAGAGCAGGTTGGTCATCCAATCGAGATTAGGCAGTTTCTGCCTACGCGTTTGTCGGTCAATTGGTCGATTGATGAGCTGATATGTTTTGTCGGGTGAACTGCGGCTCATTTGTTATTTTGGCACAAGTCTTAAGAGGTCTACATCTCTTCTACCTGGTTAATCCGTCGCCTCAGCTGTATACCCATATTTGCAAGGGCATAGGCGGATCTTGTCCTTGCCTGTGCGAGGTATCTGATGATGCTTGCTGCTATGATGAATTACATCTCACCCTTGGCGGATCTTGCAGCCATCGGGCGAGGGAACATCTCCAAAGCTTTGATTTGTCCCTGGTTTAGAGACGCAGCTTCACCTGTTTTGCGGTGACTTGTCGATCGACTGTTTACTCTTGGGGAAGCGTTTTGTTTTTTGTCTTTCATTCACTTTTAAAATTATGCCGGTAGTTCTAGTGTGTACAGTAATATTTTTTGTTTAAGAAAATTACTTTTATTGATTTTGCTCGCTACTCTAAAATATAATGATGATTCAGCCTCTGTACGGAATATAATAAAAGAATGAAAAACTTAACAACATAATAATAAAAAAAATAAATTTAATCGTCATTTATCCAAATTTGAAGATTTAGCACTCAAGATAATAATCATGAATTTTAGTTCAATGCAAAACTATTAAGACCTAAAGAAGGTATTTTCAGGTAAGCCCATAATCCCATATATTTGGGCCTATTGGGCCATGTATCCCGCTGTTGCCCATAAAAGCAGTTCAAATTCGTACTATGTTTATAAACTTATAATGCATGTTTGTAGGTATTTTTTATTAAAGAATGTTGTTTTATATGATAAATGTGTTCTCAAAATCACTTTTTTGGATGTGAATCTAAAGTTTGAGTACATAATGTGATTTATTTATATGAGAATATGATGATTTGTTGCTTACATTGTAAAAAGGTAAACATAAAAGTGTGTCAAATTAAGCATTAGTATTTGCAAAAGGACTTTCTTAACCTTAATCTAATTCTTATAATCATCTAATTAGGAAGCTTGTTGTTGGGACATACCTAATTTTAATAAGCATATTTCAACGTTTTCCCATAGTAGGTATTGAAAAACATATACCCATATTTGTATTAGACCATATTATTGCACTCATTATAATAATCCACCTCCAAAAGAAGGTAATACAATATTAGTCTTCTGATTCCAATTATTTTATTTTATCAAAATTATATTCTCTATAGTGCAACAATCCGGTCTAATACAACTATAGGGATATATTATTGAGCATTATTTACCTAAATTTGAGTGAAGAATTTTCTGCTAATTATTTATGTCAATACATCCATCAATATTTATAACTTTCAATATAATGGTCTGGTGGTATTAAGATCTATAAGATTGTTCCTCAAATTGAAATGCTATTATTAGCAAGTATTATTATACCATCTAAATGGATAAATATCTTGCACGAGCACAGTTTACACCTTTAAATGTTAATAATTACAAGTAATGCTAAGTTATATACCTAATTAAGATGACAATATTCTTATAAAAATTTACAAATAAGCCTAAATTCTACAACTTTGGGCATTTTGGGTGGGAATTTCATTAGCTATAACTAATTGAATTCCTACAGGATATATTTGACAAGTAGATTCATAATTTCTTAAGCTTGAGTTGTCCAAAGCTTCAATAAATTTTATGAGTGATCTCATTAAAGTGCTATATGATTTTTTAAACATGAAGGAGCCCAAAATTAAGAGAGATCTTATGATCAATTATCTCCTCTAAAATCTATATCATAATCCCGCTTGTAACACAATGTTCGCTTTAGGACATATATCAACTTCATTGTGCAACAACCATCTTCTTTTAAGGAATTGTACCATAACTATAGTTGCATTATCTTTATCATAATTTTTAAATTTTGTATTATAATCTCTATTATTTTGCAACCATCTATATTTTTAAATTTTATATTGTAATCTCTTACAGCTTAATCAACTTGTGAAACTTATGTCGTAATATCGCTTATTTGCAATTATCTCTTTTAAAACCTATAATAACCTCATTTTATTCGCAATCGTCTTCTCATGACAGTGGTGGTATTCTTTCTTGCAATTTCTCTTAGGCAGTTTAACTAGTTTTGTTGCAATGCAGTCGATACTTCGACAATTGGGCACTTCAACAACCGGATAGCTAGGCGGATATGCAATTCAACAATTCGATAATTGGGCAGGTCTTACTAGGTGTATACAATATCTAATATCTAAACTTCAATTGTTACATTTATGTCATTTTATCTATTCATGTAAAGGTAATTTATTTTCCCAAACTTAAAATAATCATGTTTTTCTATGCAATTTAGAAGATTTGGTTGGTAGAAATATAAAAAAACAAAATTTTAGTATTAGACAATCGCCCACGGGGGTAAGGCGCAAGAACAGAGATCTCATTTAGCGACAGCCCCCTGCACAAAGCCAAAAATAATAATTTTGCGCAAAAATCCCTCATTTTTAAAGTTGCGTCGCAAAAAAGATTGCAAATTTGAATGAAAATCAAATCCGACGATGAATAATACAAAGAAGAAGTCGAAGCGAAAATGGCGGTGCTCTCCCCCTCTCTCGCCGCAATCAAATCCCTCTCCTTTTTCTCAGTTAATCTGCCACAAACGTAGAGCTGAAGGATTCTTCTCTCTCGCTGCCTCCCTTGGCATCGACTTCTACTAGTCCCTTCGCCGCTGCTCAGTTTCCTGCCGCAATTGAGGCTTTCTTCAATAATGCCCTGTTTGGCCCTACCGCCGGGGCTGCAAATTCGAACGTGGTTGCGGGATTACGATAGGATTCAGTCAATTTCCGTTTTCCTCATCTACATCCAGGTGAGCGGACTCGTCTTTCTAATCTTCGAAGCCCTAGGGTTTATCTCGCTTTTTCCCCATTTGATGAGCTTTTTCTAACGAGTCTAGCTGTTAATTGCTTGTTTCTCGATCCAACTTTGTTGCCGGGGGATTTCATTTGGGCTTGAATGTGCATAATTGGCTTCCAATTTGACACCAATTGTCTAATCGGTTTTTGGTTTTGGATTGTTTGGCTCCGTGATCTTATTGCAAGGCGGTGATATTTATTGTTCTGACAATTGATAGGTGTGCAGATTGGTTGCTCTCTGTTGGGGTCTCTGGGAGCGTTGTTCAATGGCGTGTTGCTGATTAATTTGGTGATCGCTCTCTTTGCGCTTGTCGCCATTGAAAGCAGTAGCCAGAGTCTTGGACGCACTTATGCTGTGCTTCTTTTCTGCGCCATCTTGCTTGATGTTGCGTGGTTTATACTTTTCTCTCACACGATATGGTATGTTTCTTGCTGTGTTCCATAATGGCTTAGTCATTGATTAGTATTGATTGTACATGTGATGGAATAATCCAAATTAGCACTTTTGCTATAAAGATATATATATTGCAGCATTGACTTAGCATAAATTAAAAAAGGGGGCATTTACAGACATACCGTCCGTTTTTATGTATTTACACATCTAACACCTAAACTTTGCTTTTTTACACTATACTTTTAAAAGTAAAATATACTTTTTCAATACATAGCTAAGGCGATATGCCTTAATTGAATTTTAGGTGTTTGATATCTAAATACACAAAAGAATTGAGTGGTATGCTTATGTGAACAAACTATACACAACCTCTTTGAAACATCATGAAATTGATCCTTTATGTCATACTCAAGTTTGTGATGGCATTTTCTGTTTCATGACATTCTCTTTGTTTAGGGTTCTTGAAGAAAAAAGGGGTCCGTGCGACTTGCCTCTTATGTTTAATACCTTATTATGTTGGATAATGGATCGTTGAAACTCGATTAAAAGATGAGTTAGGAAATTATTTGTAAAGCATGCATGAGCAAATTTTTTTTTGATTTTGCTAGTTGGTAGGCCTAAAAATTAATATCTTAGAGTATTTTACATGCATTCAAAGAATGCATTGTAAGTTAAACCAATTGTGAAGAAATGAGTGTTGACAGAATGTATATAAATGGCATGAGTTCTTGGAGGTAGTTAAAGCACAAATAATTCATGGAAGATATTGATGAACTATTACAATTTATATGTGGGGAAGTGAGAATGATTACTTGGAATGATTTGAATGATGTATATGCTTTAAGATGATGAGCTTTGAGGGGATTAATGATTAATGAAGAATGAATAAATTAAAATGCAATAAAGAAGCTAAACTTAAATTTGTATTAGCATATAATATTTCAGAAATGAGAAAAATACTTGGTTAATTTCTCAATTTGAGCTATCAAATCATAAATTAACTTATTTTTTTGCTTAAAAGGAAAGAAAAATAATTTAATTTTTGAATTAAATGAAAATATGACAGTCAATAGGACACAATGGAATGATTCATGTAGTTGACTCCACCTAGTGGGAAAAAGGCTTTATTGTTGTTGTATAGTAAGGTGATTCTTGGCCATATCTTATATGAGATAAGATGATTGGTTATATTTAGAAGGCTATCACAGAAGTTTTAGAAGAGTTTAGAAATAGATTGCACATTATTTAATATACATATTGGTGGAGTTCAAAGGTAAAAGAAATTGTTAAAAAAACAGATGCACTTATAAATTGTGTAAAAGGTGAATGCTATGGTGATTTATAAGGATTATTGTAAAACAACGAAGAAATTGAGCAAACAAAGGCTATAATTTTTTATTATTAATATAATTGGCTAAACACTAAGGAAAATGAAAGTAAGATATATAAAATAACTAAAATATTAGATAAGTGATCTAAAGATTTTGATTTAGATACATTTAAATTGAAGATAATAGAATTTACCACAAAAAATGAAGCACCAAGGGAAGATAGACAATTAAAAATGCTATTTTAATAAATTATTCAATATTTGTGTTGAGATTCAAATCATTTGAGTATAATGAACAAAATTATTGGGCATACAATAGAGTTATTTATAAAAGAATATAGATAGCTGTAAAGATACATGGAGGCAAAATTTTGGGATCAAATTAGATACCGTTGAGGAGTTTAAAGACGGGATAATGGAGTGATTTTTTTAATAAATCTTTCGAATAAAAATTTATAGACTAGGATATCAAATGATTGAAAAAATATTTTGATATCAATATTTTTAGAATTATAATAATTATAGATGAATCAAGTTTATAAGTTATACAATTTTGTGAGATAGACTTAGAAAAATGGCCTTGGTATTAAAAAATCATTTTTTGTTTTGTGATTGGACAATTCAATTTGGAAGGGATTCTTGTGGTAAGACAATTAGTGGAAACAATTATAGATAGTAAGTCACCTTCATATATAATTTTTATTTGGTTTTAAGAAGATTTATGACAAAGATCCATGAAAATTGATTTAATATGCATAAATAGAAAAGTTATGTGCCAAGGGTACTCAGAAGTTCTTATAAATGTGTATGATGTATCATTGCAGGCATTAGTATTAACTATAAAGTGATCGGAAACTTTTCAATTTCAATCGAATTACACTAAGAACCAATATCAGTTTTATATAACTTTGAGGTGCCTACAAAGAATATTTGAAGTGGAGCTCCTTGATGCTTACTTTAATCAATAGCATAGTTTTATATGGTAAGTCATCTGTTGAAATTGGTGTTAAGCTAGATTAAATGATAAAATATTTATAATATAAATAATTTAGGATTAATAGAATAAAATTTAAGTTGATGGATTACTATTTTAGTTGGTATTATATCATAAAATTAGTTAATATTATTATATGATGAAGTGATACATAGAAATTATTAATTTAAGTATTTTGGATCTGTTAGGCATAAAATTGGGATATATTTGAAGATGTTAATTTCCAGAGTTAAAAATTAAATTGTTTAAAATAAAAAAATTGTATTAGAAGTATTATGTAATACAAAAACATTACTGAGACTAAAGGTCAATTATATAAAATACAGCTTAGCAGTTTATGCATATGGATCTAAATGGGGCAAGGAAAATGTTATTAATAACTAAGTTGAGCATTGAAAAACTAAGAATATTTTGTTGGCTGTGTGGCTGAAATTGGAATGATAGATCAAAAAAATAATTATGCATTGTTAAAAGTTGTATAGTAGTGGAGAATAGAATTAAATAGTTTGGAAATGTATATTGAAGGATAGGATAGACTGATAGATTTAGCATTCGAGAATGAACAAAGTGGTTGATAAAAGATAACATTGTTAAAAGCTGTATAAATTGATTTGCTCCTGCTAGGTTTAACACATCATGTAGCACTTAACATAATGATTGAAGAATGAGAATTCATAAAGCATCCTTGGATGATGTTAATAATGATGATGGTGGATAAAATAAATTGAAAAGTGGGGCATATTTTTCAGTGATATCTTTGGATTGTTGAGAAGAGATCAGATGTATTATGCTTTGCAAAAAAGCTTACTAATGAGGACAGCACTACTTAAGGTTATCAATGCATCGTTGAGATATTTGTTGTGGCTTACTGAATCCTTCTTTGAGCCTCATCTCTTTATTAGTTGTGATAGGCCATAATTATACTTTCAGCAATATTTGGCAACCACTTGTAACCAATTCGAACTTTTTCCATGCTTGTTCTTTCCATACATCATTTGTGAACTTGAAACCTTGATTCTTCTCTACATTTCTCCTTCATGAAAAATGGAGTATTAATATTTTCTTGTGTTCTTGATATGCCTCAGAACCAAAATCAGCGAACAAACCACGACGAAACGGAAATAGATATGTGAAAAAATAACACAAACCCGGGCAGTTCTTACAAAAAATCAAAGGAAACAAGCAAGATACAAGTTTGATCTACTATTCGAGGCATAGATCATCTCTCCCACACCCTAGATGTTGCTGGGAACACAACAAGAAGAAAGAATAGCAGCCACAACAAAACATACATAAAAGAAAACAAATCCTTGGTTTTTTCTCTTAAAGAATCCCCCCCAACATTTTGAAAACTTTCCCTTTCCAATTTTCCTCCAAATCGGTTTTAATTTCTCCTAATTCAGTATGTAATTAAGCCTCTCGTGGACCCCAAACTCTCCCCACCTTCTCCTGTGGCAAAATGCTGCTCCGCCTCTTCACTCGAATAGGATTGGCCCATCTGTGGATTTGCCAGGCCGGTGGGAGGGCATTCGATCGGTCCCTCCTGGACCGGTTTCGTGATGGGCGTAACATTACTCCCTTCCCAAAGAAATAACTTGTACTCAAGGTAAAAGGATGAAAACCACTTGTGGATCACCTCTTAAGGCTCCCATATTGCTTCACAGTCTGACAATTCTTTCCACTTAACCAATAGTTTCTTTGCTCCCTCTACTCCTTAGCACACTCCTTCAATTTCTAGTGGCTCCAGAATCACCTCCAAGTCCTTCGTCAGTATTGGCGGTAGTGTAGATGAGAGTGTATGATCTCCAATCGCACGTCTCAGTAGTAATGCATGGAAGGCCGGGTGTAGTGCGGACGATGGTGGTAACTTCAAAAGATAGGCCACTATCTCGATGCATGTCATCACCTCATAAGGCCCAAAGTATCATGGTGATAGTTTCTCTTTTCTCCTCCTGGCCAATGTTTTATGTCAGTAGGGTTAGTTTCAAGTAAATCATGTCTCCTGGTTCAAATTGTACCTCTCTCTTGTGTTCGTCTGCTTCCTATTCATGATTTGTTGAGCTCTCAGTAAATGACCCTTAAGCTTTGCTAGTATTCTGTTTCTCTCCTCCAAGTGCTGATCGACGTTAGATACTGGTGTGATATTATGCCCATGATATATCATGTGAGGTGGGTCCCACACATACAATATCTTGAAGGGAGTGGTCTACGTTGCGGTGTGGTACAAAATATTATACCAATATTCGGCCCATGCAATTCACTTAGCCCATAGCTTCGATGTATCGAATATAAAACAACGCAGGTATGTCTCCACACTCCTATTGACCACCTCATTCTGCTCATCGACCTGTGGATGATATACAACATTTCTTAAGGACTATACTTTGCAACCTGAATAGCTCATTTCAGAAATGGTTAAGGAAAACTTTGTCCCTATCTAATACAATCGATTCCGATACTCCGTGCAAACTGATCACTTCTCGGATAAACATCGTCGCGACTGAGACTGCAGTCTAGGGGGGAATGAAATGTGCATACTTGGATCGATGACCACCATGATCACCTTGAACCCTTCTAACCATGAAAACCCCTCAATAAAATCCATCGTCGCTTCTTCCCAAACCTTCCTTTGTAATTCTAATGGTTATAGTAACCCTCTTGATACTGTGGTCAAGTACTTGTGTCATTGATACACATCACAT